AGGATATTTTTCATAACATCCACTTCCTGATGCCCCTTTTTTTCCTCAGTGTAACTTTCCTTGGTCAGCTTGCTCCCTTTCATTACAGATCTTTATATGTATGACCACTAATAACCACATGACAGAGTCTATACTAGGCTGTTTTGAGATTTCCTTTGCCAATGCAATTAATCCAAAACTCTTTAAATTAGCCCCAGAAAAACTTTTCTGATAAGGTCAAAAAGCAGCCACATTTTTCAACAAAATATCACAAGAACAAACTTTAGGCAACACACTAAAATTCTTCTCCTCTGAAACTGTCAGGGACAAGGACAGAATCTCTAGTTAGTAGAAAAATACAGACCCCCATAAGACAGGGAACTAGATTTTCTTACAGTCAGGTTGCCAAGCAACAGGACATTGAGTCAGAGCCCTTGACCCTCTCACCCTGTAAACATCTTATACAAACATCCTGTTAGCTTGCCCCACCTTATACAGATGACAGCTTCTTGCTCCCCCCACCTTGCGGAACTATATAAACCTTTGTGGAAGAGAAATAAAGTGGCACCTTGATCAGAATCCAGACTTGGTGTCTTTTCCTTTGTATCTCCTGTCCCTACATTCCCTCCTTAGGGTGGTCGAGAATCCATTGAAGCCCTGCAGGCGGGGCATGAAACCTCTTGGTCCAGCCCCCACAGTTCAAATAATCCTCAGCACCACTGTCTTCCATGCTCCTACTAGTATGGCCCATCATGAAGCACTTAAACATTCCACTGCTTTCCTTATCCAAACTCCCAAAGTTCAAATTCCTCCTCACAAAAGCATGGTCAGGAAGGCCTATCACAGCAATGCCTTATTCCCTAGTGCCAACTTCTCTCTTAGTTAGGGTTTCTATGGCTGTGAAGAAATATTATTGCCAGAGGCCATGGGAGTATACAGCAGGTGACAACTAGGTTCAACAGGTCACCCCACCAGATGAATAACTCTCTGATGGGGTGCCCCACCTGGCAAGGCTGTGGGGTCATTGACTGTGAATGACTGGTTGCTTTTATCTGTCATTTTTCTCATGTGCCATTACATTTCTTCCCTAATAACAGCTATGGGTGTTCTCCCCACTGCTTGTGTATTTGTCATGGGAAAATATTTCATCATTGACCATACTTATAGCTGTGGATGATCGGGAAGATGATTTCTGCTGTATAATTCTGATGAATAGAAATAATACTAGGAGATTTTTCATAACTTACACAGGAAAGTAACAGTTTTCTCAGTCACAAAGACAGCTAATTTTACACTTCTGAACAAATGTATAACAGACTGGCTGCCCCAGGAGAGGTATACACAAAGTCAAATTCCAAGGTGTTTATTGCTGAATCAAGGTCAGACTTGAGCAACTTTCTTAGACATAAACCCATGCAATAATTAATTTTCTACATGTACTCACAGCCTCAGTTTATGTATCAGGACTCAAGTTTCAGTAACTAACCGCTATTGTTAAGTCCTGAATTTTAAAGTCACTTTCTGTCTGGGAAAGAGCTACATGCACATGCCAGTCAGTGTGACCTCCCTAGCCTGAGAAAAACTGTATGACTTATCATGTGTTATGAATGTAGGTTGGACCCTGAAAATATAACATATAATAGTCTAGAGTTTGGCTGGAGGAGTGTTAGAGTGAGTGTGGGTATAAGTGTGGATGTGTGTGCTGAAAGGGAGATATAACTGAGTGTGATAGAGAGAAAAGAGTGAGAGAAGTGTGAGAGATGTAAGAAGAAATGTGAAGGTATGTAACTATGTGGAGAATGTATAAAGAATGTAACTGTGTGGAGACAAAGAAGATGAAGCAGTATAGAAAACAGATGTAACTATGTCTAGAGATGTATGGCAATGCATGAGAGAGACAACTATGTAGAGATGGATTCTCAGAGAAGATTTTTAAGATGAAGTAAAAGAGAAAGTTACCAGCATGTGTGTTTCCTAGATTTTCCCTTCAAATAGATGTGAAATTTTCCTAAGCCCTCACTGAATTCTTGTGGTTTTTTTGTTGTTGTTTTGTTTTTGCATACCCTGGTACTGCTTGGAGGCTGCCTATCTGGTTTGCAATATCTGGCACCTGATGACAGGGTTTTGTAGAAAATAATTAAGAAAATAACTAAGAGAGTTGTCCAGGGAGAGAGAGGCAGGTTTCTCAGATTGTCTAGAGTGTGGCAATTTTCCTGGGGATTGCATATAAGAAGAGACAATCCTCTAATGGTCATCATGAAATGAATCTCACTCATCTGGAACTGCAGTCCAGTTGACTAGTGATTGTCAGAGAAATAAGGGTGAGTGATCATAGTTTTTTAGTTTTCCTTATGTTCTTTCCTTTGTGTTTGTCTTTCTCTCAGAATGAGTCAAGTAGATTTATGTTTGTCCTTCCACCAGATGAGTCAAACAGAGTTTAAAACAGTAGAAACGGATATTTAGTGTTGTATAAATTTCTGGAAAGGATGGAGTAAAAGAGAAAGTTGCCATCAGAAAGCATGTATGTTTCCTTATTTCCCCTCAGAAACATTATAGCTCTCACTTCATTTGTGGATTTTTTTTTTGCATACCCTGGTGCTACCTGGAGGCTGCCACTCCAGTTAGCAATATATCATGACCATGGAAACTCTTATAAAGGAAAACATTTCATTGGGGGTTGCTGATAGTTTCAGAGGTTTAGTCTGTTATCATAATGGTGTGTTGTGGAATATTCCTGTACACTGTGTAAATTATGCTCTGAATGGTTTAATACAGAAACTGACTGACCAATAGCCTGGCAGGATAAGGTTAGGTGGAAAAACCAAACTAAGGAGGGAAAGAAGGGTGGAGCAGAGAGAGAGAGATGAGTGAGCTGCCCAAGAAGCAAGATGGTGGAGGACAGGTAATGCCATGAGACGTGGCAATACATAGATTAATAAAAATGTAAGAGCTAGTTAGTAATAAGCTTGAGCTATTGACTGAACATTTTGTAATTAATATAAGCCTCTGAGTGGTTATTTGGGAGTTGACAGGAGAGAAATATCCATTTACAATGGTGGGACATGGCAGTGTACAGACAGACATGGTGCTGGAGAAGGAGCTGAGAGTTCTACATCTTGATCTGCAGTTAGCAGAAGGGGACTGTGTCCCACACTGGGTATAGCTTGAGCATATAAGATCTCAAAGCCCACCTCCACAGTGACACATTTCCTCCAACAAGGCCACACCTCCTAATAGTGCCATTTCCTATGGGCCAAGCATTCACACACATGAGTCTATAGAGGTCATACCTGTTCAAACCACCACAGACTATACATGCTACTAGAAGAAAAGCAAAATCACCAATCTTGCCAAGTTGTGAACTCTGTGAGCTACAATAATGACATATCTATTGGTGAATAGTGGCATGGATATCATTGGAGTATCCAACCACTTAGATTTAAGGCCCACTGTATGATGGAAAACCCATACCTGGCTCCCTTTCTGGGGCTAGACATGTTATATGCCCTAGAGGACAGCCTGCTATTATTACTCTGCTCAGTTACTACATCAGTCAGTCCTCATTAAAGAAACAACTTTTTGTAGTAGATGGCAACTAACACAGAAACTCAAAACGGGTTGAAGTGCAGAGAATAAGAGATGGAGAAATGTTTAGCCCTATATGGAACATCTGTATGATGCGCATACCCTTCCCAAGCCTCAGGGATTGTTGCAAAAGAGGGAACAGAAAGATTCTAAGAGTTAGAGGCCATGGGTGGTTATAAGGAAATGATGTTTTCTGGACACAGCAGGGCATTTGCACACAGGAATTCACAGTAGTTGAGACTGAATGCACAAGACTTCTGCAAGTTCAATGAAGACAAAATTCCAGTATGAAGAGGGGAGGTGGGTACAAAGTCTCCCCACCCCAGCTAAGGAGCTATTGGCAATTGATTGCTGCTAGAAGGGGGCGAGCCAATTTTCTTTAAGGGTATGACTCCTGGTGGGTTGACCACATTCCAGTGAAGGCCACATATCCAAGGGTCTGTGGACAGAATAAATTGGACTTAATAGAATTAAAACAAAAAATAAGACACAAAATTGGTGGATATGGGAAGTGGGGATAGATCTGGGAGGAAAGAAGATAAAGAAAGTTAAAAATGCTTCTTCCAGATCTCAAATTTTCAAATCACATACATTTTACCTTCATATCCAGGGTTTCATATCTTGGATTCAGTCAGCTTCATATTATATACCATACAGTTGTACCTCACCCTATGTTGTTATATGACACTCAGTCCTGTTGTTCTATATCCTATGCAGGTATACACTATCCTTTATAGATGAGCTATAACCTATGAAGTTGTATGATATCCTATGCATACTGTACCCTATGCAGTTGTACTACATCCTGTTTAATTGTACTGCATCTCATGCTATTTTATTATAGCCTACGAACATGTTTGATATTCTATACGGTTATATATAGAACTGTACTGTGTCCTATACAGTTGTATTATGTGCTACATAGTTGTGTAAAAAATCTTATGCAGTTATATAATATCCTGTGAAGTTGTATTATAGCCTATGAGGTTGTGTCATATCCTATGTAGTTTTATTATATACTTTGAGATTGTGTTATAGCCTATGCAGTTGTACTATATTCTATGCAGTTGTCTAACATCTCATGCGGTTGACTACATTCTATGCAGCTGTATAACATCCCATGCAGATGTACTATATTCTGTGCAGCTGCACAATATCCCATGCAGTTTTACTACCTCCTATGCAGTTGTATAAAGGCCTGTGAACTTTTATTATATCCTGTGCAGCTGCACTATATACTATGCAGTTAGGTCTATGATGATTGCATTAGTGCTGAACACAAGCATACTTCTGTTGGTTATTATTGCATAAAAATAAAGTATACTATTTATACAGCATTTGCACTGTGTTAGGCATTGTAAATAATTGAGAGATGAATTCAATTATGCAGGAGGGTTTGCACAGCTTATGTACAAACACCATCATTTCTCATACAGAATATGGCATCTGTGGACTGTGATATCTGCAGGGTGTCAATCCCAGAAGCAGCTTTCACCACATACCCAGGAATGACTCTATCCGGTAAGAGAATTTCATTCATAATATACAAAGAACTCTCATAACTCAACAAGAGGATAAATAAACCAGTAAAACATGTATCAAATATTTGAAAGGATATTTCTCCCAAGCAGATACACCACCAGTCATTTTGGAAATGCAAATTAAAACAACACCAAGATGACACTAGGAGAGTCATAGTCACAGACATGGACAGTAATGAGTGTGGGGGAAATGCTACAGAGATAGCAGGGCCTGGTGTATTGCCAACAAGAATGCTAACATTTGTAGTTGCCTTGGAAAAGTGTGACTATTTTTAAAATGTGAAGCACAGATGTACCACATGAGTGAATGCTGTGGATGATTGATTGATAAATAAAACACTGATTGGCCAGTAGTCTGGCAGGAAGTATAGGCGGGACTAACAGTGAGGAGAATTGAGAGAACAGGAAGGCAGAGAGAGACCTGTCAGCCGCCGCCATGACAAGCAAGATGCAAGGTACCAGTAAGCCACGAGCCACATGGCAACTTATAGATTAATAGAAATGGGTTAATTTAAGATAGAAGAAGTATATAACAAGAAGCCTGCCACAGCCATACAGTTTATAAGTAATATAAGTGTCTGAGTGATTATTTTATACGTGGGTTGTGGGACTGCGGGGGCTTGGTGGGACCTGGAGAGAAGCTCTCCAGCTACAAGTGAACAATTATTTTTCTAGCTATACTTGTGAAAGAATTTAAAAGCATGTTCACAAAAGTTACATAAATACTTACAGTAGAACTACTCATAGTAGCAAAGTAAATACAATTAAGTATTTGTATTTACAAAGACAACCAGCTACTGAGGTGTGAATGAACAAAAGTTTACATTCTATTTATACCAATGGGATATTATTTAGCTATAGAACAAAAAGTACAGTCTTCCTCAATATTTTTGTGTGCCTGGTTCTAAGTTTTACCTTCTAAACCATAATCTATAGGTGCTCAATGCACTTTATAAAATGCAATGTCTTTGCATGGGTATTAGTTACTTGTGTTGTGTGATAAAAATCAAGTTAAGAAAGGATGGATGTATTTTGCCTCCTAGTTCAAAAGCAAATCCCATCATAGCACAGAAGTCATGATGTCAGGGGATCATGGTAGCTGTTCACATTGCATCTGCAGTCAGGAAGCAGAGTGAGGGCATATTTATGCCCAACTCATGTTCTCCTAGTTATCCAGTCCTGGACCCTAATCCACAGAATGGTACCACCCACACAGAGTAGGTCTTCTTACCTCACTTAACCTAAACTAAATCATCCCTCACAGGCATGCCAAGAGGCTTGTTTTCTAGGCAATTCTAGATTTTATCAAGTTGATTATTATCCACCACAGGACAAAACCTTCATCTCTTCCAGTTGTATTTAAATCACTTCTAGGTTACTTGTATACCCAACACAATGTATATACTTGGTAAACAGATGCTATACTGTATTATTTGTAGGATAATAACACAGAGAAATGTCTATGCATTCAGTTTAGGGTACATAATCACCAGCCAAACTCTGTATAATATGTAGAACCACATACCATCGTTTCCCTTAATATTTTTGCTTGTGATTCTCTGAATCCATAGATGAGGAATTATGAATGAACCTATAGATATGAGAGAAAAATACTGACCCATGGAACAACAAGAATAATATGGAATAGGCAGCACATTTAACTTTATATGTCAACAGAATTTCAATAAACTTATTTAAAAAGTAACCATATTTGAGTCAGTGGCAAAAAGTTTACATATTATATGTTTGAAGGGTGTTTTTTCCTTTAAAATGTGTTTACTAATATATCAATCATTTTGCAACCAAATAAAGATAAAAACATTACATATTACTTTGCCTACCGCCTTTGGCTTTCTCTCTAAGAAAAAAGAAGCTACCTAATTTTTATATTTCCATCAGTATTAAGGAGTTTCCTTGGGTGCTTTTGACAAAATTACTATATGACTATACTAAATTTTTGGTGGACACATTTATATTTACTCAGATATTTCCTACTAATCTTTGTGTCTGGCACTTGATTTTATATTTTACTTGATGATCTTCTTATAATTTAGTAAAATCTTTGTAAAACATAGAATTAAAAATATCAAGACCGTTATTGAGTAGTCAATGAATAATTTATTGTTATTGATAATGAAGACACTTTCTTATGTGACTAATTCAAAATTTATTTTTATAAATATTTATAAAAGCTTTATTTTACTCTATGTGTGTGTCTACATGTGCACACACATTTGTACATAAATGCTTGCACACATGGAGGCTTTGGCAATCCTGGAGCCAGTTTTACAGATGTTTGTGATGCATCAGATGTGGGTGATGGGAACTGAGCTTTGGCCCTCTATGGGAGCAGTGAGTGACACTAACCACTTACCACTCCTTCCAGTTGAAAGGTGGTTTTTAAACAAAGATTACCGCCTCCCATAACACGAAGGACCTTGTAGTGTGTACATGTTTTCCCTCTGAAGGACACAGTGAAGTGACTCATGGTATTTCAAATATTGCAGTACATACCAAGATGAAGAAATAGGGAAAAGAAACAGAATGTTTGTCAGGAGAATATTCTGTCTGCCTTAAGATTGTTTTTAGTCCTGCTTGGGCAATTAGTCTAAAGAGGAAGTGGCTGTCTGAAGGCACAACTTACTGTGTCATCGTTTTAGTTCTTCAGTGACTAGTTCTCAATGTCCAACACTGTTCTACATAGACTCCCTGTTGCAACTCTTTAAAATATCTTCCCAGATAAAAGAGGCCTTCATTAGTGGAAATAGCAATTATGTTAATAGCATAACATATCCTTATTAATCACACTAAAACACAGAATAACATCAAATATGGAAAGTACAGAATCTGATTGGCTCAGGAGTGGCAGACCCCAGCCGATATTTAGAGTTGGTGGAGAAACAGAAGTCATCCAGCAAGGAAGGTAGGTAGCCATCAGAACGGAGCTAGTCTAGGACTTCGGGTGAATAATGCAATGTTAGCAAAATAGTTTCTCTATAAAATGATGCAAGACCTCCCAGATAAATAATAAACACCTCAATTCTAAAAAGACCACCACATCTTTTCTTCTGCTGTCATTAAAATGATGAAATAGTCCCACACAAGGAAGAGTTCTGATCTGGATCTTCTGACATTCCTACTGACGAGGAGAGTCAGTCTTGTCTTTCCTTCTGTGTTTTTCTTTTCTCTGTTAGCTCCCTCCCTCTCTCCCTTCTACCCTCCCTCCCTCCTTCTCTCCCTCCCTCTCTCCCCTCCCTGCTTTCCTTTCTTTATGATTAGAAAGACAGTTAACTTTTTTTTCAAGGACCCAAGACATTTTAGATGAGGTTGCCTAGTCTCTAAAAAATCAACAGAATTGATTTTTGAACACAGGTTATAAAATGACAACCCTCTATTGTGACATCTATTGTTCTGAAGTAAAAACGAGGTATCATTAGTTTTGAAATTGGAGCTCAAATATCATTGAGTAATATTAGGTAGGGTGCTCACCTATACACCATCTGTATTGTTTATATTTCTTCTCTAACTTTCGACAACGAGTAATTATGCCTAGAGCAGGGCTAATGTTGTATTAGATCAGAAATACATGGACAAAATGCTTACAAAGATCCAGAAAGACAGAGCTAATCTAAGATCCTTGGGGTTGGAGAGATGGTTCAGTGACTAAGAATACGGGCTGCTCTTATGAAGGACTTGGATGTGATTCGAAGCACCTATACAGCAGCTTACAACTGTCTGTAATTCTGTCCCAGGATATCTGATGCCCTCCTCTGGCCTCTGTATCAGAGGTGCACACACAAACATGTTGGCAAATACACAAATATACATATACATAAATAAAATTCAATAAACCCCCTATTATCCATTGAAATAGTGACATGTATTTTTCCTCTAGTTCTGTAGAGTATGAGCTAATCCTCTAAGGTTTCTAGGGATGTTTGATTTCTATGACTCCAGAGTTGATTTTAATGAAAAAAAATTGGCGTTAAAAGTTTCTAATATTTAATAATACTAGAGTAATGTTTGGCACTGCTCTACAGATAAAGGTATTATGTGAAGAATTATTAAATCTTTCCATTTACCTCTAATGTATTAAAAAAAACCAAACAATCATCAAAGAAGGGTTTTCATACAAAGTCTGCTCTCCTATATATGTGTGCATGTGTGTGTTTCTGTGATGCTCTATTCATGTGCCCATGTGCCCCATTACTCAGAGGCTATGATAAGTGATAGAAACATGACTAAACGCATAAGTGGTAGCCTTGCTCAATATAGCTGTGGAATTTAGTTTGTAATTTGAGCATCAAAAGCAGGGTCACAATGACAGAAGGTGGTAGCTACTGAAATTCAATTGCAATGAAGAATGAACACCTCCCTTTTTGCTAGACCTCTAGAAAGATCTCCACTCTGCTCTGGTGAGGAAAAGCATGAGTTTTTGTTATAACTCTGTGTTCAACCTCATCTCAGAGGATCCCTTATGTTTTATCTACTACCACTGTGATGGTTGTTCTTGGCTGGCAACTTGACTATATCTGGAATGAACTACAATCCAGAAATGGAAGGCACACCTGTGAGAGATTTTCTGCTTGATCTGAAGTAGGTGAATCCACTTCTAATCCTGCCCTTTGAGCTAGGAAGACAGACACCTTTGATCTGTATCTTAAGGCTGGAAGACTCATGCCTTTAATTTGGATCTTGAGATGGGAACACACACCTTTAATATAGGCCACACCTTCTTCTAGAAGCCTATATAATGCCATAAAACAAGGAAGCTTTTGCTCTTTGCCTGCTTGCCCTAGCCTTGTTAGCACATCCATTTCTTCAACTTCTTCAGGATTCCAGCATATGCAGAAGACCAGTTCAGACATCCAGCCTTGTGGGACTGAGTAACTACTGGATTCTTTCCATTCACAGCTAGCCATTGTTAGACTTCAGCCTGTAAGTCATTCCAATAAATCCTCCTTTTGGATATATAAAGAGAGATTCATTCCATAAATTCTGTGACTTTAGAGAACCCTGATTGACATAACCACGTTAATTTGAACTTCAAGATTATTTTTCTCAGTAAAGTTTTTCTGATAATATTATGATGCTGAGGACATGGTGCTGAGAACTTGTGGTACTGACTAAAGCAGACCAACTCCATTAGAGATTCTGCACAAGTTAAAACCAAATAATCCAGTCATAACAGAAGGAGCTGTTTTTCCAAGAGGCGTGTGTGTGTGTGTGTGTGTGTGTGTGTGTGTGTGTGTGTGTGTGTCTGTTGGACTGTCACATACACAGGCCGCAGCTATCTGAAGTATTTCCATGTCACTCTATTATAGTGAAGAATGGTTCCTAGGGAAGGATTTAGTAAAGAAAAAGAACAGTGAGGCAGAAAAGGAGTAGAAAGAGGAAGAGAAAGAGTATGAGGAAGAAGCCTAGAAGCAAATATTTGTCTGTAAAAGTATACTACAAAACTACAGTAACCCAAACAGCATGATGCTGGAATAAAAACTACAGAAGAGAAAACAGGGCACAGAAACTAAACACACACACACACACACACACACACACACACACACACACACACACA